TAATTACATCTGCAAATGGTTAGACCTTCACATGATTTGAATGCGGGAGGTGCGGCAGGTCGTGGTTCAAGCCTCGGCCGGACCTACACTCAGGGACACTTAAGATAACTAAAGAGAAGGTGCTGCCTTTGTAATTACATCTGCAAATGGTTAGACCTTCTCGTGTTTTGGATGACCAAGCTAATGACAGTCCAGTCCCTATTCAACTTGAGACGTTGAAAGAGGAGCACCAGTTTATCAGTTGAATTATTGTCAAGTGTTATCCTTTGTTTATTTTATTCATGGTTCGGTCAGACAAAAATAGCAGTGCTGAGATGTGAATTCATTCCTGTATAGGGTTTTCTTAGTGAGTGAGTGAAAAACATACGGTACTGACAGGGTATATGATATACCGTATCAATGAAAGCTTCCCATTATCTTCCAGTAATTTATCCAATCACTTGTACAACGTGTAGTTACGACCCGCTGTGGTAAGATACGATACTACAATATGGCTACGAATTTTCCGTAGACTCCCTGTTATCCCGCTTGCGACAAAAAGCCCAGAGGACATAAGATACAGAGATACGCGCAGTGAAACAAAACGGCATGCATTCTTTAAAAAAAGGTTCTCATTTACCTCCAAAAGCGAAGCCCTTGCCAGGGGTCCAATAGAACAAATGGTACCGTCAAATAACCAAGAATCATGGCAGTGATCAAACAAGTGATGACGTCATACACACGTGACAAGATGACAGTCTTCTGGAATTTCTCTCTCCAACTGCGTCGAAACTGGATTTTGGGAGAAATTCAAAATGCATGATTACGTTGAGAAATTGGTAAATCTCAGTGTAACTTCCCGATAGTTACGGATGAGTTAGAGGAAGGGGTCAAGAGGTGAAGAAGGACTGTCCTCTCCTCTCAAGGAAGATCCTTAACGAATTCATTGTGCTGAACCTGACGAGAGAATCATTGCCTTACCGCTCTAGCCGCCTCCAGACATAACTGGGCACTAGTAAACGTCAAGTAGTAACCACCATAGAAGCCATGCCATGCAGCAGAGAGCGCGAACACCGCCAAAGTACGATGTTTGGTCACTCGATCGTACACACACCTGTTATCAACGGACAAAAATATGTAAAAAAAAGCTCCCTCTGCTACTTGTTGTATAGGAAACTCTTTTGCGCGAGCACTGGTAATGCTAGTCTTCTACGCAGCCGCGATAAGCGTTGCATGACGGCACTAATAGCAGCTGCGTAGGAAACTATGGTAATGCCAGCTGCATTTGTTATGCATGCAGGCTGCAATGCAACAATACTGCGCAAAACATTGCAGCAATTAGTTGCCCGTAATTGTCGTCGGTTTTATAAAAATTTCCAGACAAGAGACTTCTGATGACAAGTCTTTTATTAAGATTGCAGCTATATGAACCTATAATTACTGCACCTTAAGTTAGTTATGATCGTACCTCCGCAACCATGAGCCGGTTGATATATTCCAGTTATCAAAGATCATTTTCATGTTGAGTGGGAACTCGACTTTAAGAATGTTGGCATGTAGCATGCCGTTCCACAGGGGCTGGCCTTTCTCGTCGTAGCCACTAAAACCAAGCCCAACCAAGTTGTTGACTGCTTCAGCTGAAAAAAGAAAAACCGTTTCGATTAGGCTGAGGAAAGGAAAGGAAAGGTGGCCAAGGCTAACTCACAGATGAAACCCTGAAACAACCTCTGGGCTGATCAAAGTCAGGGCATGGCTAACTCCACAGATCAGACCCTGAAACAACCTCTGGTTGATCTAAGTCAGGGTATGGCTAACTCACAGATCAAACCCTGAAACAACCTCTGGGCTGATCTAAGTCAGGGCATGGCTATGACAACCATTGTTCTACAAGTCAACCCACTCTGTTATCAAGTCTCGGAGTATGTGTTATTAAGTTATAGTTTCTAGTTTGTAATTATAAATAAGTACCTCCTTTAAAAGCAAAGTAGTAGCGCATGCGCAAAGTTACCATGGAGAACCATGCAAACATCAACCTCCATAAGAATGAATGAGTAGCAATGAATTCCTCATCTAAAGTCAGAAAAAAAATCATATAAGAACTCAAACGAGAAGAGAATAAAAACATAATGGAGTAAAAGATGCCAAAGTTTGTCTAAAAGGGTACTGTCATACAGCACATACATGGTACGACATTCCGTAACACTGAAATAGCTTTCCATAAGAATGGTTATCGTATGAGTAGGAAACGTACGCGGGTATTGTCATACAGCACATACATGGTACGACATGCAGTAACACTGAAATGGCTTTCTATAAGAATGGTTATCGTATGAGTAGGAAACGTACGCGGGTACTGTCATACAGCACATACATGGTACGACATGCAGTAACACTGAAATGGCTTTCTATAAGAATGGTTATCGTATGAGCAAGAAACGTACGCGGGTACTGTCATACAGCACGTACATGGTACGACATTCCGTAACACTGAAATGGCTTTCCATTGTCTTCATGTAATTCATCCAATCACAACCCGTAGTTACGGTTACAGAAAGATAAGGTACGGCTACAATACTATATTTGTTGTCAAAGCGAGTGCATTTAAAATGTCGTAAAATGCTTTTGGTTTTTGTACAACCATGATACTTGCCTGTATTCAAGATGGGAGAAAAACTAGGTGCAAATTTGAAATAAATTACCAGACACGCTAAACTGGTTAGAGATTTTTCTATGACAGGTACCTGTTAGATATAACAAAAACTATAAGAAAAACAAGTCAAAACAATACCCGTCCTGATGTTATTGAAAGTACTCACCCCAGAGCCCATATTGGAAGGGGAGGGGTACTTGCCATTAACTAAATCAATGAAATTGGATCCCACCCGAGCCCATTCTCTTGACTTTTTCCCCAAATCAAAACAACATGGTCAAGACAGTTCATAGACTTTTAAAACTGCAATATATCAATATTTTCCATTTTAAGCCTTTTAATAAAAAGATTTTTTCTATTTGAGTTTTATAAATCCATATCTATGCCTCTACTCAAGGATTACCGTTAAACAAAGGAGTAATACTCAAAGGAATAAAACATGGTCTGAAATGGGAAACATTGTGGCTATGAGGAAGAGTTATTTTAAAAAGCACTTACTAGCGATGATGGCTCTTTTCTCTTTGAATCCTGGATATAATGACAAATAATTTTTTACATTAAAAATTATATTTAAGGTGATGGTAATAATAATGATGATGATGCATGATGATGATTATGATGATAAGACTAGATAATGGTCTTTGGGCCGCATTTGTTGGGTATATAACTTACCTTTTCTATAAAGTGTCTACCATCAATGAAGTCTTTATATTTCCTATAAGTACAGGCAGGACCAGCTAGCAGTGTACTGTAATGTAATATGTAGCCAAAATATTCTAGGAGACTTGGTACTTTTCTGTTTTAATGAAAATTTAAATATGAAATATTAAAGTAATGCAAGAACCAACATGAAAAAGCCCTAATACTGTACCAGGGGCCATTTTAGAATCTTGTTAGAATCATTTTAGAATTTATCTCGCCCCCTTTTGGAATTTTATTTATGTTTTATCTATCTATAAGTAAAATTGTAATGGACATTGTAAATATATAAACACCAAAATAAGTTCGGGTATACTACCAGAATATATTTTTCCATTTTGCCAAATATCAGTCCTTTTATGAAAAAAATCTCTTTGTTTAAATCCCACCCATATTTTAATTTATATAGATCTCTTAAATCATTACGAGAAAGCAAAGGTACAATATTCAGAGAATGGCACATGTTCTGAAATGTAAAACTGAAATGTGAAACTGAAATGGAAAACTCAATAGGGAACTGAAGTGGGAACTGAATGGGAAACTGAATGGGAAACTTAAATGGGAAGATTTGTACTTCAGTTGTTCTTTCTTCTGTTCAGCAGATAAGTCTTTTTCATCTCTGCCTTGACCTATAAATGAATTTATATAGTATTTATAAATGAATGACACTGTACTCTATGCTGCTGCACTCCATCAATTCATTTATTACTCCCCCCCCC